TATGATGAGTCCATTAAAATGGGTCTTAGAACAAACCAAACCAGAACTGACACTAGATTTAAAGATGGCTGTTTAAACTGTTACACTTGGACATGTCGAGAGACATGCTTCAGTTAAAAATATGATAAATATTTGTTAAAGTGGAAGGCAATAGGGGTACATTGATTCCATCAGGAAGCCATGGCCCTGGTCAGGCAAGGCCTGAGAATGGCAGTGATCACTAGGAATCTTGGAGGATGGCAGTGATCACTAGGAATCTTGGAGGCCCCTTATTCATAGGGCTGGCTGAAGACAAAGTCAACTTGACAGCAAATAGTAACGAATAATTAAGAATGTGCTATCACAAGATGTGATGACCTCTAATTTAAATTAATTTTTTAAAGAATTATAAAAATTTAGAGTCAACAGAACCTGAGCAATCATGAGTCCAGCTGAATTATGTAGGCCTTCTGTAAACATGACTGAATTTGGAACCACTTCACAGAAAAGGATCTAACAAAAGCTATTAGGCATTACAGTGTTCTCTCACTTATTGTGGGGGTTCCGTTTCATCACCAACTGCGATAAGTGAAAATCCATGAAGTAGGGATGCCATATTAATTTTAATATTTATATATTATTTTATATATTATATATTATTTTCTTGTCTGTGCTTCCTTACCCGCCTCCCAGCCCACCCCAAGGGCTCCTGGCTGCCTCTTTGGCCTCCGCAGAGCCTCTGGAGCCACACAGGCAGCAGCAGGCCAAGGAGGCAGGCCTTCCCCATCGCGTCTCAGGCTGCTGCACTTCCGGGGTCTGTGGAGGCAAGGGAGGCAGGCTTCCCTACTGTGCATTAGGCCACCGCACGTCCAGGATCTCTGGCCTCCAGTGGATGTATATATTTAATATTTTTATTAATATTTTCAAAAACCCACGAAACAGCGAGTCCACTAAAAGTGAACCGTGAAGTAGAGAGGGAACACTGTACACCTAATAGAAACTCTAGGCATCAGGAGCCACAAACAAACAATAGGAGACTGGTGTCATCATTTGCTGCTGGACATTCTCAGAAATATCTTGTTGGGAAGTACTCAAAGGTGGCCCTAGGTAATTTTCAACAGTAAGCAAACAGTATTTTGCCCCCCTCCACCCCCCCAACCAATCACTGATATATATTTTCTGTTCATCGTGGGAGTTCTGTGTGTCATATTTGGTTCAATTCCATCATTGGTGGAGTTCAGAATGCTCTTTGATTGTAGGTGAGCTATACATCTCAGTAACTACAACTCACATATTTCAAGGTCTATTTTCCCCCAAGAGCGCCTCAAGAGTGCCCCTGGGCAAAATCAACTATACTGCAAATGCTTACTTTGCGTAATGGGTTGAGCCACCCCTGGAAGTACTACAAACAACATACCGGCCCAAATGGATTTTTGCTCTCATCCAACATGGTTGTTCTGTCTTTAATTCAAAGACATAGCTGTGTCAGTCTGGAACAGTATGCAAAGGGGTCTTTGAAATTAACTAAGACAAATATATTGGTGGCATAAGCTTTTCAGAAGACATAAACTCTATTTTGTTGTTGCTGGTTCAAAAAAATGTTTCCCAGACAATATACCATGTGAGATGTGAAAAGATAAAACTAGCTACAGTAACCTTTGCACATCATTTTTCTGTAATGTTTTATATCTGCTTCTGCCAAGATATAAATCATTTTTTCCTGACGTCAAGGAGTTTATTGCACTGAGTTAATCACAAGAAACTTTAAAAGGGGAAATAAGAAGAAATCCCAGATACAAAATAAAAAGAGCAGATGCAGTGTTTGATGGCAGAAAACCCGATTTCTCAGTGTCTGGTCTACATTTTCAGTTTTCATCACTTACCTGTGAAAAATGGTAGAAATAAAATTGAGCTATTGTTGATTTACGGACAACAGATCTTCCTTTGATACTTGTTCATTAAGCTTTCTATTGATCTAACACCACAAAGGAAATTAAAATTCTAGGAAGGTCACATGAGACCCCTCTCTACTTTTTGAAGTGCATGTCTCTATGGTCAGAGTTTCAGGTCCAGTCTAATACACTGCAGTGTACATATTACTTTCCTACAACACTTAATCATATTGCATATTGAAGCACAATATGTTAGCTCTCCATCACTAGTGCTTCCAGCAGCTTGGAAACCATTTCTCCATGGTGCAATACCATGACATGCCTAGTGAATAATAATGCAGCCACTGAATAGGGATAAAGGGGTTTTGTTCACTATCTAAACAACAGATTTTCATCCAGTAAAGCTTCCAACTACACAGAAAAATCTAGAGAATTGGGACGTTATTCAAATATTTGAAATTGTATGTAAAACTACCTCACTACCTCTGAGGATGCTTGCCATAGATGGAGGCGAAACATCAGGAGAAAATGCCTCTAGAACATGGCCATATAGCCCGGAAAAACCTACAACAACCCTGTATGTAAAACTAGTTCCTATGTTTCTGCTGACATTGATGCAGCCCGCCTCAGAGAAAGCTTCACCCAGGAGAAAGATATAGAATGCATACAGATTCCAACAATGCTTTAAGCATCCAACCAAACAATAATATTCACACGGTATTTCCTTAGCTATGCCAGTGTAACATGCAATCAGCATGTAAAGCAAGAAGAACATACAAATTAATGCAATTTTCCCAGCTTCTTGGCAGGGTTTTGGACTGGATGGCCCACAAGGTCTCTTCCAACTCTATGATTCTATGACACTAAATAGATAAACTGTCATTGGAGACCTTTGATTTTCCACTGCTCTTGATCAGTTTACTGCATACTTTGGGGTGTTTCATCAAACTTTCATTCCAGAAAATGCTAGAGTTCTATGACGTCAACCATAGCCGAGATGGTAGCTAATACTATGTAAACTCTGGGGCAGTTATTTCTTCAAACCCACCTCTTAGTAACATGAAAAAATGAATGTTTAAATCTTAGGTCAGCCAAATTCAAATAAAAACAAACACATTTAGTGTAAGATGAAAACAGGAAAAGAAATAGCAGTTTTAGAATCCACTTTAGACGGTGGTGACCACGTAATGCTAACATTTGCAAACAGGCCAAAAAAAGAACATAATCAAACATAGGCCTTGGCTTTCAGGAATGCTAACTTTAAGTTCAAGGAATAACTCAAGTGAATTTCATAGCTAGACATATTAAAGGAAAATGACACTAAGCAATGGTGGAAGTTACTGAAGAATGAGTGCTGAAAACACAATCACTTGGAAGCAGAAAAATGTAAAATAAAGATTAAAACATAGTCCATGTCTGCTGGCATACATGAATCCAAGTTTAATTTTTCTGTTTCTGCAATATTATTTATTTATTTAAAACATTTATATTCCGCCCTTCTCACCCCGAAGGGGACTCAGGGCAGAGCACAGCCCTGAGTCAAACATTCAATGTTATGTTATGTTATGAATAGTAATATAAAAATGAGTGAATTATCAACACTAAGGCATTCAATGTGCAAACTCTTAAATCTTGATTGTCTATTTGTTTTTGAGCATTGAATGTTTGCCCTACAGGAAGAGGGCAGGTTATAAATAAATTATTATTATTATTATTATTATTATTATTATTATTATTATTATTATAACTGAAAAATGTAATCTACAAACAGCACTGCTGCTTAATTAGTTAAAATTGTTCTTTTAATGTCCGTAATGTTAATGTCTTGAATGAATCTTCCACATTACTTAAATTTGGAACTATTAGTGGATAATGTAGTCATTTTAACTGATTTCTTTAAACCCACTAAGTATCACAAATGTGTTAAATACTGATTAAGAAAATAATTTTCTTTAGTAGCTAAAAGGAATAACAAGTTAGTTTTCAATTAAAGTTAACATTAGTGCATAACTTAAATTTGAAAATGAAGACTTCTAAACTCTGTTTTAAATAACAGATTTTCTCGTCACCTTGCACAGGTTCAAGTATGTTACATGGAAGGAAAAGGGTATAAATCTTTTCACATCATATGAAAGCATTTCCTATTGAAGAAAACCTTCACCACAAATGACTATTAAATCCCTCTTTTCCTGCTATCAGCCTGTAGAGCAACATGCTATTGCAGAGATCTTTTTAAAAAGAAAAAAGAAAGAAAACCTACTGTAAAAATGTTAAAGGGTTCCCAGGCACTGAATTATATTCAGTTTAAATGACTTCACAAACAAACTAAATGTGTTGGGGAAAGAAGGAGTGAGAATTATGAGTTTCAAAATGCCACTAAATCTTCTTCCTCTTTCATATTTCCTTTGGGGTTTAGTTTTGTTTCTTTAATGTTAGTAGAGTGTGTTGATTAGCCCCCTTGACAATACTAGCTACTTTGCTATTAAACACTTACTAATTATATACTCTCGTAGTGAGCCAGTTCTACACAAATTCACTGTTCCTCAGCAGTAGGTAAAAAACAACCATTTCTCAGTCTTCCAGCTATGTTATGGGAAGGCAAAGTATCAAAGCTACTTCCTGGCTAGTAAATCCATAGGATTTGGAAAGCTACCAAGTTTAGCCCCTGATACCTCAACAACATTTCTAAAGCATCACCAGCATCATATATCTGAACCCACTGCTGACTTGTACTCCCACTCTTTTGTACAGCAACCATTCCAGAGGTTCTGCTGAAGTGACATTTCATTTGGCTCCATTTGCTAAATCATTTCCATTCCAGGTGACCATTATAAAAACTACTATTAAACTTTAAGAAGTTATGACTGAGATACAACTTTCCTCTTCCCTCTCCATTCCTTTCACCTTCTATATCATGTCTTTTAGCTGTAAGCTTGCAGACAGGAAAGGACTGCTTTGTTTTATTCACTGTGTGAAAGATGACATGGAAGCATTTTCTGTTGAAGATTTGGATTTAAACAAATGGTATATAACCGTGTCCCTCTTCCTCCATCTAGTTTCTAGAGGATTTGTAGTACAATCCTTGGCAATAATTTTGTTAATTTTACTCCAGTTTCACTCATTACTTACCGATAAAACACAGTATAATCCACCGTGGAGTGGCAACTCTGAAAATCCCATGCTTTGAGTTTCTGGCATTCCCGATGGGCACGAAGTTTTACCCTCACTGTTCCTTGGCACAGTTCTGGAAATTGTTTCCTTGGAGGGCGAGCACAAAATTCATTTGACTCCACACGCCAGGATTCCGCAAAATCATCCACATCAAACTTAAAGTTCCCATCGCCTCCAATCAGATCATCTCTTTTGTGCCCATTGTAGTTCCCACAAAGGCCACAAAGCCGGCCCTTAAGATGTGGTGCAGCCATGACTTCAACAAAACTGTCTCCATCCCAAGAGATCTCTAGTCCTAAAAAAAGAATGAAAGAAGTTGAGAAATCCATTCATTTTCAGCAATGTACACGTGAATAACATGAAGTTATGGGATATATTGAGCCAAACTATTTATTCCTCCAGCCTAATGATGGAGACTCCTGCTGGTAACAAAGAAAATCATGTTGCCCTCCAAATATCATTGGAATGCAGCTTCAACCATCCATTGACTTGGCTATAGTCTCCAAGGCTGCTGGGTTTTGTATGCAAACCATTGAGAGACCATTGACAACTGTTCTACATGGCCTTTGCAGTCCTAATATGTGAGCTCTTTTTAACTGGAAAGGTCAGGAACTAAACCTGGAAACCTCAGCCACCAAATCATGCCCTTACTTCCAAACCATGGTTCCAACAAAGCTTGTAAAGTTATATTGAATGAGTAATTGGTTACAATCCCCGATTTTAAGGTAAAAGCTGTTTAGTTATTCATTTCTCCAAAGTAACTAAAAAGTAACTAAAAAGTCACCTTCTATAAACTTTAAACTATCTGAACACTACAAGAACCAGTTTGTAATACTTTTTCCACATCTTATTGTCACCTCATTTCCATTATTGCTTCAATCCTACTAAAAGAGTATGAGGTATGGCAATTGCAAAAAACTAATTACCTCTAGCTAATAGAGGAGGTAGAAAGTGAAAAAGAGGTAAGTTGTCTAAATGAGCAGGTATTATTGAATCTAAAATTTCGTGATATATTTCAATCAAGAGTTGCTCAGAGAAGACTGTATTTCCTTGCTTGCTATAATGAAGCCCAGTTTAAGGATTTCACTCACTGCAGATACTGGGCTTCATTATAGCAAGCAGGGGTATTTTCATTGTGCTTTTCTTTCATGGCAAGGGGTGGGATAAGATGGCCCATGTGGTCTCTTCCAACTCTATTATTCAACAATTCTATTATTTATATAGTATTGCAGGCCACTGGACAGAGAGCCTTTGTGAGGCAGTTAGTCCAACAGTGGTACTAGCATTTCCTGCATTCAGCTGGGCACTTCCTGCCACATCCTGTGCACTAGTGGCTGGCCATCTTGGGAGAAGGCAGAGCTTTGTTTGGGTGACAAATTGAGATATATCTGACCCGTTGCACTGCCAGGTGAGTGGAATAAATCACCTGCATGAGGAGGAAAGCTTGGAAAAAGTAAAACTTATTACAACTCCATATTATGCTCCTGTGCTACTGGATCCTGATAAATTTTCTCTAAAATCATATTGAAGGAAAGGGTTCTAGTCCAACTGTTTGATGACTATGTTCGTTTCCTAAATTCAGGGAACTTTGATTGTCGAGAAAAGTTTTCCAAACACAAATATTTTGCAACATAGTCATTCAACTTTACTAGCAAACCGGATGTTAAACCAACCCCTTATAACCTTTCATTTATATATATATATATTTAATATATTATTTATTGTTTATTTCACATAGACTCAGAGGTTTCTTATTATGTTTGTGCAACATGCCTACACACTGTAACCAACGTATTATTATGTTGTATCACACAGTTTGGAAACCTCAATGTGTTTATAAAGGTTGTATGTTATTGATGTCATGGCCTATGGCTAGTGCAATAAACTTTATTCATTCATACAGTTTGGAAACCTCTGCTGTAGAGGAAGATTTGGAAGCGTGATTGTCTACTTTCATGCTGAAGTACTATCCCCAATTGTTTTACCATCTTATTCAGGAAAACAGGGCAATCATGCTGCATAAGGCAGGAAGTTAGTGTGCTAGAAGAATTCACTGAGTTTTGTTAAAAGAAGCAAATCATCAGAAAGATCTAATAAGGAACTGAAAGACAAGTAGATACATGGTACACTTCAGTGAGACTTCATAGGCTGTTTTCAGCTGTGTGTCAAAAAACACAGAGCCTGTATTAGAATACTGTAAACAACTCTTGTTTAAATAATTTCTAGGGGATGGGAAACTTGGTTCTGCTGCACCTTTCTGCCCATGGAAATACTGAAAGAAATGCTGAGGGTGACATTTCAGCATCTTACAAAAAAAGACTAAACAGATGGTTATTGGATCAACAGCCATGAGGATAAAAAATTTCCCACAGTTTAAGCTCAGAATGAGGGACAACTGGGAAAAGTGGGGCATTCAAACTGTCACACTCTTCTAGTCAATTAAGCAGAAGTGGCAAGACTCTGGATTCTGTTCCCACAACTCTAAACATAGTTTAAACGCACAGTATTTGACAAATAAAGATGCAGTGAAAGACTGTGATAGCCTTTACCACCTTGATTGAACAAACAGGAGTAGTGATAATTACTTTTGAAGAAGTAAACTATTCCTTTTAGTAGCCTAATCCTGTTGACCAACTTAGTAAAGATGGACATTGGAGAGAACAATGAACATGCTAAAGAAAAACAAGTTGCTTCTTTCGTTCAGATACTTGCAAATCCCTCTTGTCTGCCACATACACAGAAAGCAAGCACATTTGATCTTTTATTCTTCCTCTATTCAATCTAGTGTAGAAATTTGTGTTGGAGTTTTTTGCACACAGAATTCAGGCATATTTGTGTCTCCTCCTGAGGAATGTGGCCAGTAAGGAGGTACCTCAGACAACCTCAGGCAACAGGATATACAAGTAAGAGTAAATTTAAGCAATAATCCCTGAATTCCCTAGCCAATCTAACTAATGGCTATGCTGTTCCAGGAATTCTGGCAGCTTTACTGATTTCTGATTAAGTCCATAAAAAACCAACTACAGGCAGTCCCAAAGTTATGAACAAGATATACTATGTAGGTTTGTTCTTAAGTTGAATTTGTTTGTAAGTCAGAACAAGTACATTTTAAGTGTAACTCCAGCCATATCTACCTATCTACCTACCTACCTATAACCTTTGGGTAGCATAGGGAAGGGTTAACACCCCTGTGATGTTTGTTTTACTGCCAATGCCCCTGTTCAGAAGATTTCGCCACACTTTCTGTCCTTGTGTTAATTGGATTGTGAAAAATTTGGATTATTGTGGAAACAAGGATTGTTGAGAAAGCTTTAGTTTCCCCATGATAACTTTCAGGAGTGAATTTTCCTTCCTAGGGGTAGACAGATTTCTCTCACTTCCTGTTATCTCACCCCCATTCTTAACTATGAGTCGTTTGTAAATCAGATGTTTGTAATTCGGGGACTGCCTGTAATCTGAATGGACAATACTGAACCAGATGATAAAACATGTTGCTATATTTGAAAAACTTTGAGATAATATGGAAATTTATATGAAATATTTTAATAAATAATAGTATAATAATGACACATAAGGCACAAGTGTCTTTAAGGACACTTAAAAACACATCACATCATTCTCAGTTAAAGACTTAACTGATTAACTATTAATTGCCATTTGGAATAATGTTACACAATTATACTGATTTCTCTTTCTAAGGGCAGATTGTGGCTATATTTTAGTAGATGTAAACTTCTTTTATTGGCACCAGAATGGCATGATGGGGTTGCAGAAGGGAAGGCACAGTTTAGAAACATCCTTTCCTTGCATGAAGCCTTGGCCAGGCACAGGATTATCTGTTAATTTCTCTTTCTACTACACCTGTATTTTTTTTTTAAAAAAAAAACCTTAATGTTGTTTCTAAATAAAATGTGAACTCTTAAAAAAACCAACTGAAATTATATTCTTTCTGATTTGCAACAGCTAAATTCAAGAGGTAGAGCTATTCTCATTATAGAAACAGCCAGGCTGTACTAGCTCCCAGGAAAAGGACTTTTCAGTACTAGTTTACCTACACATTTTAAAATTAAACATTTAGGCTTCATGTTAATATATTCTACTTTGCCAGTTTTTGTTAATGTTTATCAAAACAAAACTGAAACAAAATTCTCACCCACCCTGAGTGCCAGATTCAATCTCTGTTATTTCCAGAATCTTAGCAGGATTGGGAAAGAACTGGGCATGAAACTGGAAAACATTGTTTTTCGAAACAATCAGTTTTGGCTGTGATCCCCAAACTCTCATTCTCCAGATTTTTTTACTTCTATCAGCTGCTTTGGCCAATGATCGGGGATTCTGGGAACTGAAGTCCAAAACGTCTGGAAGCAGTGTTTCCTACATGCTAGTCCATGTAGGAAACACTGGCCTACATGAACCAGCAATCTGACTCAGCACAACAGAGCTTCGTGTTGACAAATTAGAATGTGTTCAGAGGAGGGTGACAACAATGATCAAAGAGACCATGCCCCATGAAGAGCAGCTTCAAGAGCTAGGGATGTTTACCCTGCAGAAGAGATGGTTGAGAGGAGATATGATAGCTATGTTTAAATATTTGAAAGGATGCCACAAGGAAGAGGGAGCAGGCTTGTTTTCTGCTGCCCTGGAAACTAGGACTCGAAGCAATGGGTTCAAAGCACAGGAAAGGAGATTCCACCTGGAACTCACTGCCTTTCTTTGGAGGTTTTTTAAGAGAGGCTGGATGGTCAACTGTGGACGGTGCTTTGATTGTGCTTTTCCAACATCGCAGGGGGTTGGACTAGATGGTCCATGTGGTCTTTTCCAACTCCATGATAATATGATCTATGTGATTGTTTCCCTAGTTTAACTAACATATAACTGCATCACATATGAAATAGATGCAAGTCTCAGCAACACTGTTTTCAATCACTGTGAGTAACTGAACTACTGTCTCATTGTTCCTTCAACCCTCAATGCTCTTTTGTAGCTACCTTCAATATCAAAATACCACACCAGCATTTGGTATGAAGAATATAAGCCTATTCCATTGTTAGTTGGGAAATAATGTGGGTTGCAGCATGCTATAATTACATGCTATTGAGTGAACCATTCTATGGCATGTTTGTCCTGGCTCTACCAAGACAAAGGCAATAATGTTTGCTGAGCTGAGAGAAGAGCCAAACAGAATAACAAGAAAAATAATATCTTAGTTAATTTAAAGCATCCCACATTGATTTTCAGGAATTTAATGGAATTTCATAATTTAGTTGGCATTGAAGAGAGACACTCAAGATGTTT